TGGGGGGGGGGGGGGGGGGGGGGGGGGGGGGGGGGGGGGGGGGGGGGGGGGGGGGTTGGCTGACGGGAAATCCTACGATGCTCCAGGTGTTTGTGTCTATGTTTAGTCAGTTGAACCGAGACAATATGAATCTCAGCATGTCGACCTCGGTACAACGCAAAGATCACGCAGACGTCTATGCCGTTAGCATGCCAGAAGCGCCCTGGTGGATGAGACGGTAGCTTAACTTAATAGCCAGTGGCCATTTCGTAACTATTAGGGTCTAGAAAACGTAACCAGCTGGTTAAGTCCGCTAAATGACCCGGTGACCTGGTGTCGGTGTTCGGGAAAACTCGCCTGACCCGGTGTCAACCGAACGTCGCGGTGGGAGCGTTATCCACTATAGTGTACCTAGGGCACGTGCTGTATTATATTTGTTGTCATTCATTCATTAAGTGCTAGAGTGGGTCATAAGAAGTGGACATAAATTTGAATACAGTTCTTAAAAAACAATTATAAAAAAAAATTAACTTTTATAGCGACTTAAGTATTAAAGTATCGTTTTGAAGTAAAAAGAGAATTATTTTTTAAGACCCGATATTGTTAAATAAACTATATATTAGTGATTAAAACCGAATTGAAGTGTTAAGTCAAACTTGTGTTTGCTATCTGTTCACGTGGGTTGAAGTGTTAGGTCAGACTTGTGTTTATTATGTGTTCACGTGGGTTGAAGTGTTAGGTCAGACTTGTGTTTATTATGTGTTCTCGTGGGTTGAAGTGTTAAGTTAAACTTGTGTTTCCCATGTGTTCTCGTGGGTTGAAGTGTTAAGTAAGACTTGTGTTTACCATGTGTTCACGTGGGTTGAAGTGTTAAGTCAAACTTGTGTTTACCATGTGTTCACGTGGGTTGAAGTGTTAAGTAAGACTTGTGTTTACCATGTGTTCACGTGGGTTGAAGTGTTAAGTCAGACTTGTGTTTACCATGTGTTCACGTGGGTTGAAGTGTTAAGTCAAACTTGTGTTTCCCATGTGTTCACGTGGGTTGAAGTGTTAAGTCAGACTGTTTCCCATGTGTTCACTGGGGTTGAAGTGTTAAGTCAAACGTGTGTTTCCCATGTGTTCACGTGGGTTGAAGTGTTAAGTCAAACTTGTGTTTCCCATGTGTTCACGTGGGTTGAAGTGTTAAGTCAAACTTGTGTTTCCCATGTGTTCACGTGGGTTGAAGTGTTAAGTCAGACTTGTGTTTCCCATGTGTTCACGTGGGTTGAAGTGTTAAGTCAAACTTGTGTTTCCCATGTGTTCACGTGGGTTGAAGTGTTAAGTCAGACTTGTGTTTATTATGTGTTCACGTGGGTTGAAGTGTTCAGTCAGACTTGTGATTGCCGTTTTAACTGAGTTACTCTAAAGAATATAAAAAAATCCCTCACCATAAGTCTGCAGTGGAATATCTATAGAATTGTTTTGTATGTAGCGACTGGGCGAAAAAGTTGTGGCGATATTTCTACCCCACACCCAACCAAAAGTGAAATACAATTGTAAATGGCGGTGGCAGAGGGGTGTACACCAATAAAACTGGTGAAAAATGGTCATCGCCGAAATTTAACTACCCCCCCCCGGCCTTGCCTCCATCTTTTGGCCAAGGAGTACCACTTTAAGAAAGGAATTAATTTGATTTGAACCCATGTAAACTTGTGAACCCAAGTACACTTGTGAAACAATGTACACTTGTGAACCCATGTACACAAAAGTGTACGCACCGCCCGTTGCGCCATTGCCTACAACCATGGAAGACAGTTTGAGACCCTTGCTTGTGCCCCCTCGTTTCCTTGTCTGACACTTCCCTTGGTATTTATTGGAAGAGGCGCCTCTCTGCGCCCCAGTGCCAGATCGCGGTCAGCTAGTTTAGGGTGCAAGAGGAGGAGGAGGGGGTGGGAGGAGGCTCGAACGGGCTTGTCGCATCCGAACTGTACGTTTCTCAGAACTTCTCAGCGGCGGATCAACTGCAATTACTACCTCAGGACCAGATGGGGGGCCTGCGTACTGCCATTTGAGCTGTGACTTAAGTTGCCATAACTGGTTTTAATGTTTGTCACAAATAATTGTGTTGCTACTAACCCCCCCCCCCCTCCCCACAAAGTCCTCGTGGATAAATAAATAAGCAAAAAAAAAAAATTCTCCTTAGTCTAACCAGAAATCTCAACAGCCAGCAAATTTGAACTTCGAACTTTCTACCATCCACTAACTTCTAACACCAACTACCAGTGGAATCGATCCGATCTAAGAGCCGCCATGTTTCTTCCGTTTGAATTATTTTTTTTTGACACTGCCACTTTTTTTTAACAAACAGTAGGAAGCTTTTGGTCGACACGTTGGCTATGGTTGTCTCAATTTAAGCCTCAAATATGATTGACATTGAGTTTATTGCTACAGGGTCAAAAAAAAAAAATATATATATATATATATTTAAAATGTCGGTTTGAGGGGCGGGCGAGGGAAGGGTCCATAACTTTCAACACTCCCCTGCCCATTTTGAACTGATTAAAACACTTGACAAATGGTCTTCTTTGCCGACGGAATTGATAGATGAGAGGAAAAGCATGACGGGGATCAACCGAGATACGCGGCACCGGCCATACGATACCAACTACGGGCCAGGGAGAGGGTGGAGGGAGGGAGGGAGAGAGGAGGGGGATTGGCACGATGTTCCGGGCATGGAGAAGTGGACCAAGTGTTGGTCCATCTGGACAAGTACTCAGCCAATTTGCCCTCAGCGTGAGACCGCCTCTCAGACAGGTCCAACGCCATGTTTCATGTCTAGGCTTGACTAAGATTGACCGCCGGGGGGGGGGGGGGCAGCGGTTCAGAGTGGCCAGCGGTCAAAGTGGCCCATTTGATTTATTGGGCCCACTGTCACAGTTGTTATTGATAAGAGTTTCACCAGTGAAGTTCCAATAGAAGCACTATCTTAATGCCATATCTAATCTAAATGTTACATCTAATCTAAATGTTATATCTAATCTAAATGTTATATCTAATCTAAATACCATATTTAATCTAAATGCCATATCTAATCTAAATGCAATATGTAATCTAAATGCAATATCTAATCTAAATGCGATATGTCATATAAATGCCATATCTAATCTAAATGCCATATCTAATCTAAATGCCATATTGTTGCATTCATCATGGTTCATAATTGTGTACCCAAATATACAAATTGGTAGTTTTATTTCTATGAAAATCATCACGCTACTGGCTTCACCAGCAGCACAAGAGATAAAGATAGAAGAAAACAAACCACCTGCAACATCTCAACCACAGCAACTACTTCATACACATTCATACTGAATCGGTCGTCAACGTTATGTCCTCAGCAAAGGTAACTGTACGGTCGCTGGCCGACTTGCAACCTTTATGATACTCCATCGGCAGCTTCGGTCCCCGGTGACCGCCTCTGTCGCCACTCTCTTCACACCCTGGGACAGAAGCGGTTCGACTTTTGGAGATGATGTCAGGAGTCGTCAAACGTTCACTTCCAAGGCAATGGCAGCCATGTCCTGGTCCCGCGGTGACCTTGAAAGCGTCCTCAATTTTACACTAGAAGTTCCTAACGTATGGGTGACATAAAAGTCCCTCAGATATGGGTTACATACATTTGGTTCATTACTGACACAGAAGTCCCTCACACATGGGCTACATACATTTGGTTCATTACTGACACAGAAGTCCCTCACATATGGGTTACATACATTTGGTTCATTACGGACACAGAAGTCCCTCACATATGGGTTACATACATTTGGTTCATTACGGACACAGAAGTCCCTCACATATGGGTTACATACATTTGGTTCATCCTCTAAACTACACCTCTTTCATAAATGGGTCAACCACGTACATTTTTCAAATTTACATAAGTATGGAAAATAGGGGGGGGGGGGAATGACCTTAAACCGTTGACTTACGATAGCTTCAATTTAATGAGAACCCAAGATCTATTTTTAGAACTTTTGTATGTTGAATGACAATCACCCCTAAGGGAATAGCTCGGGACCCCAATCAGCCTGGGGCACTCAACGAAATAAAATGAATGCCTTCGCACCTGACACGGGAAGGGGGGGGGGGGCAACATTTCAATGGGTTAGCTAAAAGAAGGGGAAAAAATGCCCGTATGTACGCTGTTACCCCTATCACCAAGCTCTGGAATAACAGCATTCGGGGGTCTGCATCGGATTGGAGACACTCGGGCGGGATCGCCAGTCAAAATGATTTGGTAAACAACGCACTTTAGTACCATCCGGATGTTAGCACATTCACCTGTTCAATGGAGGTACACTATTAAATATTCGGAGGCCCATAACGGTTTTAGGTTATAAATATCAACGTATTGAATTATTATGTTTTGAAAATGACATACCTTAATGAAATATTTATTAATGTATGAAAATGTCGGTCTTGTCGAAGAGAAGAGCAACGTATCTCTTTCTCTTTCTCTCTCTCTTCCCACCCCTTATTGGATCTGAACATTAGCTTTTAGATGCCTGGAATACCCGGTTCCTAAATGCAGGGTTGCGACCAGGCACGGGGCAAAGAAAGTTTGGGAAACACTGCTTTAGACATAAACAATCAATTTATTTGTACAACCATTTATACTGGTATTTGCATTGCAATTTATATTGGTATTTGCATTGCCATTTATATTGGTATTTGTATAGCCATGTATACTGGTCTTAATCTGTAAAGAACAACACATCGTCTATATCGTTGTATTCCTAAAGTTTTATTTAATGAGGGAGGGGGGGGGATACAATGGATACCCCCCAATGAAGAAGAGATTTCAAAGAAACTCTTTCCTCATTACACACACAAAACGGCAAAGGGACCCCCCCTCCCCCATCAATGGGTTCCCAGTTGTCCAAACAGGATGCCAAAGCCCCAAGACAACTGTCGCACATCAATGGAACATTGCCCCCCCCCCACCCTTACCCACGCGCCAGCAACACTGATGTTAATTCTTTCTACATACCAGGCTTGGACAACACCGCTGGCTGGCTGATGATGGTTCCAAGGGACGTGGTCGCCGTGCACCTGTACTCCCCATCGTAGCCGGCAGCCTCCCTGGCGTGGTGGAAGTGGAGGTCCGAGCCCAGGATGTGTAAGCCCGCGTGACGTCGCTCGTCCAGGGGCTGCCCGTTGTACAGCCATCGAATCTGGGCGTCCGTGGGGATGGCCGAGCATTTCAGCGTCACTGGGGCATGGTGGGAGATAACCTGGGAGTAAGGGAGCTCAGTGAATTCCGGGAACTCTTCTGTGAACAAACAAAGAAAAAGAAATTGACATTTAAAAAAACAACAACACTTTAAATATGTAAAATACTTTTAAAAAATAGATTAAAAAAAAAAAAAGAATTCCAGATGGCCCTCCATATCTCCTCCACCTATGCTTAGTTGTATGGACTCTAGATGTGTTCTTTTGTGTGCAATAGGTGCGTACGACGGGGGAAGAAGCGAATGGGAGCGCACCACGTCGCGCAATGGGAGCGGGGCGGACAATATCCATTCGGGGATTATTATATAATATTTTAAGTTGTTGGGATCTATATTACAAATAACTAGGAAATATATTTACCATTTCCGCAAAAAAAAAAGAGGGGGGGGGGGGGGGTGGGGGTGGGTCCGCCAAAATTTAAGGTTCGGGGTTTCATTTTTCAGATGTCTAGTGTTTACAATTTCTCATTTCCATCGATTTAAATTTTAAAAA